AAAAAAAAAAAAAAAAAGAATGAAATATAATGAGATGAATCAAGGTGGACAAGTCTCAAACATTTTGATGAAAAGTCACAAAAGAATGTGTACATTTGGGTTCTGGTTACATAAAGTTTGAAAGACTGAAAACCTAAAAAATTTGTTTAGTGATACATATAGGAAATAGTAATTAGCAAATTCAGAAAAGTGGCTATGTCTTGGGTGGCAAAACAGGAAACATGATCAAGTAGGGCCACACAGGTCTGCTTAGGTTCTGGTGATGCTGCTGCTTATCGTGGGGAATGTATATATGGCTACTCATTTTAATGTTTTTACTTAAATAACACATTTTGTACCCTTTCACATTAATAACATTTTATAGTAATTTTAAAAAATTCATTTGAAAATCTAATTTTAGACATTTTTAGTGTGATCAGTGCACTGACCCTTAAACCACACTGTGGAAGTCACCCTTCGGGATCCCATCTTCATGTGCTATTAGATTTCGCACTTTGAGCAAAGGGATCTGGGGCTTTATTTCCTTTTTCTTGAACTTCATGTAGTTATCAAAGTTGTTCAAGGTTCTATAGTTACGAAGCAAGTCTAGAGTGATTGCCTTCTTTGGAGTACACTTACCTCCCAGTGTGTGATTTCACTTTGTTCTGGAGCTTGGTATATTCTTTACTTTCATGCCAATTCAGTAAATGTTAATTTTAAAAAAAATAGGCATTTGATCTGACTTATTTGGGAGAGTTGTTCAATCTGCCACAATAATGGAAATGAAATTCCAAATTCCTTTCTTCTTATACTGAGAATAGCACTCACATAATTATAATTATATAACACTGCTATGTTAGAATAATGAAAGGACTGCATTAAATTATTTTTATGTGTTAGGCACTATTTAAAAGCACTTTGCACACACTATGTGAAATCATTTAATCCTCCTAACAACCTTGTGAAAATAACATTCAAAGAGGTTGCCCAAGGTACTTCAATCCCTGTCATTCTTACTAGAGAACTGGAGCCTACATAACATAGAAGGTCTTACCTGATGGTTTAGGTAATACAAATATAGTTCCATCATCAGCAACACAGCTGACTGTTGCCTCAAATACTTTCATGTTAGGAATAGTTGGTGGTTTATAGCATCTAGTGGTTCTTGGTTCTAGAATTTTCTCCTGAAGTTCAGACACTTGGTGTTCACTGATTATGTCAGCAGCCTTTTTGTCAGGGTCAAAGTTAGTTTTAATACAGTTAATATCTACTGAATCTTCTTGTTCCAGGGGGACTTTCAGAGACTTCTCAGATAATGAATGGCTGTTATCTAATTTGTTAATTCTGTAACATCCAAAAAAGAACATATCTAAATATGAGCAAATATAAAACTCTGGGTAAAACAATATAAGAAGAATTCTTCAGATATATATGAAATTCAAAGAAAATATTTGCTCTAATTTGTTATGTAAAAATTAGCATAAGTTAAAATTAAAATTGAGACTGATGAGAAAAAGCAATAAAATTTTAAGTAAATGTTTTAAATTTCTATCTCGTATTTATAGACTATGCTCTCTTAAAATTTCCTAAATGTGGTACAATGAATTCAATATTACTAGAAGATATAACACCTTTTAGATGATTTCAATTTAGTCCACAGATAGAACAGGCATCTGGCAAGCTATTAGCATCCATTAATACAAAGAAAACATGAGTCTCTTAAAAAATATTAAGGTACTATTCATATATTAGGTGTTAGTGGTAATACGCTATATTTACTCAGTTTTTCTACTTTATATTATTCCCTTCCACTTAAAAGTAATAGGTATCCCTACTGTACAAAAAAATAAAATCTTAGAAGGAAATGTTAATATTGGTTGTGTTTTAGCATAATTATATCAAGTTTCTGTTTCTTTTAATCTGTACTTTTAAAAGGAAATAAAGCCTGGGTGTGGTGGGTCATGCCTGTAATCCCAGCACTTTGGGAGGCTGAGGCAGGCAGATCACCAGAGGTCAGAAGTTTGAGACCAGCCTGGCCAACATGGTGAAACCCTGTCTCTACTAAAAACACAAGAATTAGCCAGGCATGGTGGTATGTGCCTGTAATCCCTGCTACTTGGGAGGCTGAGGCATGAGAACTGCTTGAACCCTGGGGTCAAAGGGTGCAGTTAGCTGAGATCACAGCACTGCACTGGAGCCTGGGCGACAGAGCAAGACTCAGTCTCAAAAATAAACAAACAAACAAACATTAGCTAAACAGCTACGTAATTCCTCAAATAACCTGCTAGTCCCCCAACCCACTGCTGCCTTAAGAGAGCTGGTAGTTTTAGTCCGTAAAAGCAGTAAACAACTGGCAGCAGACAATGTCAGTAGTATTAACTTGCCTAGCACTTTTCATTATAACATTTCTTCTATCAAGGAACTGCTTTAGCCTAAAGGCAAAGCAATTAGGCTAGCTGTATACCAAAGCCCGGGCAACCCAGGCCAGATCTCCCATATCTAGCCTCATGTCCCACTTTCTTCCTGACTTCTCATTCGTTTGCCATTTCATCAGGACTCGGATCCTGTTCTCAATAAGTTAAGATATAAGTTAAGGCAAATACATCTACGGAGATCGGCTACGTATGAGGCCATGTATTTGGTACACAGTGGCTACTTAGGAACTTGTTTCTTTAATTCCAACATAGCTCTATGTCTCTAGAAAGAGAGAGAAAAGATTAAACTAGGGCCACAACTGTATTCTGATCCTGTCCCTGGATCAAAGGTGCTTACACCCCAAACACTGAACCTGAAAGAATTTTTAAATGTAAATACGTTGAACTACTTATTGTATAAGTATAAATAAATTTCATATAAATATGTTTATTTTGTTTCATATATATTTTGTTTCATATAAATGTTTCATATATTTCATCCCGTTTCATATACATTTACAGTTCATATAAATACATCTAGTAGGTACACATCTACCAGAATTTCTAAAATAAAGCTTAAATATTTATGTCTAAAGCAAAGGGTGCCAGAGGGCTAAGATCTGGTACCACTACATTATTCTCTTTTTTTTTTTGGTTTACAGTGTAAATGTCAAAGGAGAGGGCAAATTATAAAAGCAGGTATGTCAGTAAAGGGCTTAAGAGTGCAAGAAGAGATGTGCCTGAACAATGAAATGCACAATTCTGAAGGAATCTACTTCTGAGATGGCTCCTCAGAGTTATAAATCTTTTTTTTTTCCCCCTAAACACTGGGGAAAGCGTGAACGCAGTCCTCCACTATCACAAATTATGCAATCGAGTTTCCCACATTTGGGGAAATTGCAGGGGTCAGCACATCCGGAGTGCAATGGATAAGACTTGCCCTGGGAAAACCACCTTCGTGATCATGGTTTCTCCCCTGCCAGGTGAGTATAGTTTACAAATCTTGAAGAGCACACAAGATGCAATTCATATTTGAAAGCACACGTAAGAAGATTTGCACATGTAACTAAGAGGCATCCGCATCCATCACGAACTGATGTCAAAATTTTTTTTTTAAGTCTATACCTCCTTTCTCTCAAAGCCAAACCCTTTTTAATCAAATATTTAGAAACATCAACACGCTCTCCTTTTTCATCTCTGCAGAAAATTTTCACAGGTAATGGCCAAGTTGTGTTGTTCTCCTGTAGTGATTTAAGAGCAGAGTAAATATGAAACACCAAAATGAAATCTTCATGTAAACAGTGTACATTTCACAGGCATTTATTTTACATTTCTCTAAGCAAGAAATATTCCCAAGTGAGTAAAGTTATTTTGGTATCTAAACATATCAGAAAATAAATAGCAAGGAAGAGAGTGAAACAGAGTTATTTTATGAAATGCATCAGAAAGACTTTAAGGTCAAGGTGAAATTAAAGAAAAAAAAATCAAACTGGAAACTTTTTTTTCCAGTCCCAGAATGGGAAGTGGGGAATACAACATCAGTCAACAAGTTTCTTTATTCTCCTGCTTTCTTTGTAAATTACAGAATCAAAATCGCAGGAGAATTACTTGAACCCCAGAGGTGCAGGTTGCAGTGAGCTGAGGTCGCGCCACTGCACTCCAGCCTGGCGCCTGGTGACGGAGTGAGACTCTGTCTCAAAAAATAAAAATAAAAATAATAAATAATAAATAAATATATTTTCAAAGGTCTTTTTCTCTCCTACGAAAAGCAAAATAACTAAAAAACTTATTCTGCTTCATAGGGAAGAAGTCATAAAACTGGAGAAAGCACATAAAAAGTAACAATAAAATGAATTATAAGAGAAAATTCTACTCATTAATGTAATCAAAGCATTTAAATTAGAAAAAAAGCAAAGGATATTTTTAAAGTGGTCTGAAAAGATGTATGCCTCTTCTCAAATACACGTGTGTGACATACATTTATGATTTCACTAGAAGCCTAACTTTCCAGGTTGGCAAATATCAAATAGCTTTGGAAACACACCCTAGCATACACATTATATTTTTAACATGCAGATTATCAACTCATGAATACTACTTTAGAAATACTTTGATTCATTCAATCATTTGTGGTGTAACTATCATCAAACAGGAATTACACTTTGAAATAAAACTAACAAAATTCGTAACAAAATCCATGTTATTTTCTCAACAAGAAAGAAAATAAATGGAATTGATGAAAACATTAATGAGATCATCAGCACATTGTTAACTCTCTACCCACCTGTAAGATTATAGTTGCTACAGCTCCAGTCAGGTACAATGAAAGACAGTCACAAGCTGTTGCTGTCCACTTGTCACTCCCACCAGCTGGTCTACAACAGAAAACAATGGCAACTTGTTTTATAAAAAAAAGCATACAATATTGACATATACAAGAAACACTGCATTTACACACATATACATTCATAGTTTGAACCAACTATATGTAAGAAATCAATTTAAACATGGATTCATATTATTTTTACAATTTTTCTCCTCATTTTCATAGCCTTTTTTCATCCCTCTATTTTACTTAGGGCCCATGTTACATATTAACTGATTTGTATGTATCTGTTCTGCAGCTACACTGAGCACCTGTAAAAAGTAGGTATTAGTCACTATATACATTTCACATATGTCAACTAGACTGTAAACTCCCAGAGAACAGGAATAATGATGTATTACGTGCATCACCACATTCCCTAACGACCAGAATGGTGTCTGACACATAGAAGGCATTCCAGAAATATTTAATGGAAAGAAAAAAGTCTCTTTGATGATTCCACTGCCCATTTTGGAAGTTCTTTGGAATTCAAATCTAACTTGAACTGCTACCCAAAAATATCAGAAATACCAGAAATTTTAATTATTCATTCAACGAAATTATTTACATTACCTGATAGATGTGGTAATACAGTTTTAAATGACTAAAAATTAGCAGTATCTTTGACTAACTTTTCAGTAAATACTGTCAGACAGTAATGCACAATAAAAAAAATGCTCGATAAATATTTGACAGATAAATGAAATACAGAGTATCTAATTTCATCATCCATGTTAGTTTGCAAAGTTGAAACTAAGTGACTGCAGGGGGTGACTCATCTTTTGGCTTCCCTGGGCCACACTGGAAAAATAGTTTTGAGCCACACATAATATACACTAATAAAGCTGATGAGGTTAAAAAAAAACAAACAAAAAAAACTCATGTTTAAGAAACTCTACAAATTTGTGTTGGGCTGCACCGAAAGCCGTCCTGGGCTGCATGTGGCCCATGGGTTGGACAAACTTGCTTTAGATGTTTCTACCAGCAAATCTATCCCTAAAAATAAAGAATTAGTAACACAGAAAAGATTACAGATAACATAATGCAGGCTCTATGGGCCCTCTAAATATGGTTTCTAGTTTCAGAGTTTCACTGAGCTAACCCATTAACTGAGTAAACAATTATTTCCGGTCAATCTTTAAAAAAAAAAAAAAAAAAAAGGAGGCAGGGCCTCACTATGTTGCCCAGGCTGGCCTTGAAGGGCTCAACGGATCCTTCCATCTTGATCTTCTGAGTAGCTGGGGCTACAGGTGTATGCTACCACATCCAGCTTCACCTGGTCAATCTTTTCACAGTTACATGGCTTATATGACTGAGCTAACCAAGTCAACTGGGCACGTAACTTGACCAAACAGGATTTGGTAAATGTGATATATACTAATTATTATAAAGCCTAGAGAGAGTTCTTAGGTGCTAAGAAGCTTAAATTGCTAGGAACTCTTGGAATCAGTTATGGTTTAATACTTATTATGATGGCATAAAAATAAAAGTCAATGTAACATTAAGGTTAGTCATTGATTATGGATATAAATATTAATTTAACATTTTTTTTAAATGTATGAATATACAATTTCAGTTAGGGAAGATGAAAAAGTTCTGGAGATGAAATGGTGGTAACTGCTACACAACAATGTGGTTTTTTTCTTTTTTCTTTCTTTTTTTTTTTTTTTGAGATGGAGTCTCACTCTGTCACCCAGGCTAGAGTGCAGTGGTGTGATCTCGGTTCACTGCAACCTCCGTCTCCCAAGATCAGGCAATTCTCCTGCCTCAGCCTCCCAAGTAGCTGGGACTATAGGTGCGTGCCACCACACCCAGCTAATTTTTTGTATTTTTAGTAGAGACAGGTTTTCACCATGTTAGCCAGGATGGTCTTGATCTCCTGGCCTCGTGATTTGCCCGCCTCAGCCTCCCAAAGTGCTGGAATTACAGGCATGAGCCACCGCGCCCAGCTGATTTTGTTGTTGTTGTTGTTGTTGTTATTTGTTTTTGAGATAGAGTCTCACTCTGTCACCCAGGCTAGAGTACAGTGGTGCAATCTCTGCTCAATGTAACCTCTGCCTCGTGGTTTCAAGCATTTCTCCCTGCCTCAGCATCCCAAGTAGCTGGAATGACAGGTGCCCACCACCATGCCTGGCTAATTTTTGTATTTTTAGTAGAGACAGGGTTTCACCATGTTGGCCAGGCTGGTCTTTAACTCCTGACCTCAAGTAATCTGCCCACCTCAGCCTCCCAAAGTGCTGGCATTACAGGCATGAGCCCTATGCCCAGCCATGAATGTTCTTGTTGTCACAGAACTGTACACTTAAGAATGGTAAAAGGGTAAACTGAGTGTAATATGTATTTTACCACCGAAAGAACAATCTATTAAAAGGGATTTCTTAAAATGGCAGTAAAACAGAGTGGTTAGAGCTCCAGTTCTGGATTCAGACCTTGTTTATAATCCTACCTCAACAAGCAGCAGGTATTTTATCCTGGATAATACTTACCCTCTTAAATATTCAATTTTCTTACCTGTAAATAATATCTTATTTATATCTTTAAGGTCTGTTGTTAGGATTAAGTAAAATAATGTCTTTAAGGCAATTAATGCAGGTTCCATAAGTACTTAAAGGTTAGGCTTTTAAAGTGATAATGGTATTTCATTCCAGCCCATGAGATATCACTTAAAGTATGTACAGAAAAACATTATCTATACTGTTAGGTACAATTAAGGAACAGACATAATTCTGTTCAATCACTCTGAACTATTTAATGTGAAAGTGAAAACTAAGATAAGATTTATATAGTATGTGAGCTGAGATTTCCATTTCAGGACACTGAAAGGATTTACAGTTGTCCCATTGTTGCCATCAGTGATCACAGACAATAGGGAGAGGTGTAAGATTAGAGAAATGGGTCACTAAGAAGAAGGTATCCTATTAGAACAAGGATCTCTAAAGAACAAAACAAATAAAAAATAAAAAAAGAAGGTATCCTATTATATTATCAATTTAGGCCCGGCATAGTGACTCACACCTTAATCCCAGCACTTTGGGAGGATGAGGCAGGCAGGTCACTTAAAGTCAGGAGTTCAACACCAGCCTGGTCAACATGGTGAAATCCCGTCTCTACTACATATACAAAAATTAGCATGGTGCTAATTTTTGTATATTTAGCAAATATACAAAATGTAGCAAATATACCACCAGTGGCATGGTGCTATGTACTGGTAATTCCAGCTACTCAGGAGACTGAGGTGGGAGAATTGCTTGAATCTGGGAGGCGGAGGTTGTGGTGAGCTGAGATGGCTCCACTGTACTCCAGCATGGGTGACAGAGGGAGAATCTGTCTCAAAGTAAATAATAATAAAATTAAAATATCAGGTTTCAAAACAGATAAACCAATGTTACATTTATATACATAACTTTTGGGTGAGGTACTTAATTTCTCATCATGAAGTTTCTTCAATTACAAGATGGGGATAATAGTTCTATGTCAGTATTATTGTGAGAACTAAACTAACACATGAAAAGCACATCATACAATGCCTGACCTAGTAGTGAATAAATGTTAAGGTATACTGTATAGTGTGTCTGGAGTTCTCTCATGATATCCTTGCAGATGAGATATAAATAAGCTAGGTAAACCAGTATGGTTTATCTATTTCTTAAATTAAAAAAAATCACGCACAGGTTCATTACAGCTTTTATAATAATGTTGAAAGGGTCTTTGGGATCTTTTAGCTTTATTGGTAAACAGATTTTTAATATTCCTATTTATAGTCCATGTCTGAAAAGCCTACACATATATGTATACCTAAGTTTGTGTACGTGTATATGTCTTGTAGCCAAATAACATGTAATTGGCTTCAAATTAGTGATCCAGTTTGTGAGACAATCAAAAACAAGCTTGTCCAACCTGCATGTGGCCCAGGAAAGCTTTAAGTGCAGCCCAACACAAATTCATAAATTTTCTTAAAACATTATGAGATTCCTCACCAACTCATATTTCACACAGATGAAAAAAGAAAAAAAATTTAAAAAAAATTATGAGATTTTTTTGCAATTTTTAGCTCATCAGCTCTCATTAGTGTCAGTGTATTTTATGTGTGGCCCAAGACATTAATTCTTCTTCCAATGTGGCCCAGAGAAACCAAAAGATTGGACACCCTGGTCTGAAACTGCAAACACCACCAAATGATTTGGATAACTGTGGTAGCATATCAAAGCAATAGCAAATGATCTGCCAGTAGACTTAAAGATAGAGCTGTTTCCTATAGGTACAATTTTATCTAGTACTCTATGTTGAATAGAAGCTAGGATTTATTTAACAACTGTTCTTAACCTCTGGAAAAAGGCCAGTTATGTTTGGCAATATTGTTACCTCCGAGGCTAGATATTCCGATTTTTGCCAATAAAAGAAACTCACATTTTAATGTGAAATTTACTAGTTTTTTAAATAATATTTGAAAGTTTAAAAAACATTCTGCAGGCCAAGTGCATATTGGTTGGATTTGGCTCATAAACTGCAGACTACAACTCTGAAGAGGTATGCTTTCAAATTTACAGATAATACAACATTAGAAGGGGCAGTCCAGACACGGAGTAACAAAATCAACTATCTGAGTTTCAAAACCAATTAGAAAAAATTTGACAGGAATAACTGTAAAATTCTGTATTTAGGTTAAAAAATCACTGTGTCAGGCTGGAGTATAGCGGCACAATCATAGCTCACTGCAGCCTCCAACTCCCGGCCTCAAGTGATCCTCCTGCCTTGGTATCCCAAAGTGCTGGGATTACAGGTGTGAGCCACCTCACCTGGCCCTTTCCCCTCCTTTTAGCTGAATCTTTTCTTTACTTTGCCCCATTGCCTGTCTTGCCTCAAATTGAAAACTCTATTCCCAGCAATTTCTCCTCAGTGTGGAGTCATGGCAAGGAGTTTCAGTTTACTTTCAGGAGGTTATATGACTAAAAAGGCTCCAGTATTGTGAGACTCTGGCACATTTACAGACCTCTTGCATTCAGATATGAACTGCATCCTGCTTCAACTCTTAATTTTGGTTGCTATTCTCAGACTGGCCTGCATGTGCCAGTGAAATGCCATTGTCTATTCCTATTCTTAGAGCTGTTGGAATCCTAGTCTGCCTCCCCTCCAAATCCTCCCATACAAATGTTGATTCTGTAAGGGTATCATGATACCATCATACTGTAAAGGTTCATGATGTACCCCACCTGCTAGTATTTGGGTACTCACAGAAGTAACTTATCATCTGCTTTTGTTGTAGATACTGACTGTGTAGTCTTTAGCTTTACTGTCCAAGTTGCTGTTTTTATAATGGGATTCCAGTAGACTAAAACTGTTCTGTCATTTTCCCAGAATCCTCTACAAATTCACTCTTTTTGGTAATTTACCTATTTTTACCTTTCTATGCAATTATAAACTTATAAAATTTATTTCTATCTGCATTTGTTGTTCCTCAAAGTAAATTTTTAATATTCAACAGTTTGAATTCTGTCTAGGTACTTTCATACTCACCTATCTCTATTTCTTAATGCCACTAAATTTACATGATCCAAACTTTTATCTTTCCCTCTTAATGTACAAAATTAACTAGATGTTAGGAAAACTTCAGAATATCTTAGCAAAACTAAAACTGACAAGAACCCATTTAAAAGTAATGTTTAAAATAATGAGAAAATTACTCAGCTAAAAACTACCTTATGTCAACCAGAGAACATTCCAAAGAGAGTCTTCCCATTGTCTTTAGATTCTCTTGAAGTTTTCTTAAACAGTCAACATTCACTACTAGTTCAACACCCACGTCATACAGCAAAACCTAAGAAAAGAATACCTGTTAGTCTATGGACAAACAATTCCAAGTATTTTTTTTGGCAAACTGAAAATCTCAGTGAAAATTGTTTTAACTTCAGGGAAAAAAATACAAAATGCAATCACCACCCTCATGATTATACTTTTAACTCCGCAATTACCTCTACCAATGTGTCTGTAACCATTCTGATGATCTGACCTCTTCGCCACTGATTTTTATCTTGGATCTTAACAGCACAGTGCATATCATTTTCCCATTTAACAGGTTCCCATTTTGAGTTTTCATAAGCAGATATCATCTTTTCTTCTAAACTACAGAGATAAAAAATATTTAACTTTCCAAACATTTTCTTATATAATTCTCTGGCTACATGTTTTGTACTACCCCCGCTTGCTCATTCCACTCCAGCCAAGCTGGACACCTTGTTTTTCCTTAAAAGTACAAGCATATTTCCTCAGGTTTTGGAACTAGCTCTTCCTTCTGCCTCAGATAAACTTTCCTCAGAGACTCATGTGGCTTACCTCCCTCCCTCCTTCTTTGGGGTCCATTTCAAATATCACTGTCTCTGAGGTCTTCCTTGACCAACATCCTAAAAGTGCCTTCTTCCCCAAATGCTTTATTTTTCTCTATTTCCCTTAACAACATCTGCCACACTAAAAATTTCATTTGTTCACTCTCTTTCTACTAGAATTTAAGTTACATGATAGCAAAGATTTATCCATTTTTTTTTAACCAGGGTATCCCTAGCACTTATAAATACTGCTTGTCATATAGTAGGTCTCAATAAGTATATGTAAAATGAATAAATTGAAATTAGTGAAAACAACCAACAGAGATCCTATTTGCATACTTCTAACTAGCTGAGAGACTACTTAGTTAAAATAATTCTGCTTGTAAAATCTACATTTATGACTTCTAGATCTTTGAAACAGAATATAGAAAGGATAAAATCACATTAATGCTTTCCTTATATATTATATATATTGTACCTATTAAGTAAGTTTTCAGTTAACAACCACTGAACATAAATCTTCTCAGGAGATACTACATTACAAATATGCACAGGCAATTCCTTATTATAAAGTGACTGGAAATTCTCATTAGGTAGAGATTTTGCAGACACAGGATTTAACTTGTTTACTTCATTTGAAATAATTTCTTCTGGAGAAGGATCCCAAATTTCAATATGCTTTTGAGAATTATCTTTGAGGATATATCTGAAAAACAACAAAAGTTAATGAAAAGAACTGTGTATGCAAATTATTTGTATTTGCTCAGGTCTGTATCTCAACTGTGTAATGCTTACATGACTATTTTTGTCAAAATTCATTTAACTGTGGACCTTAAAAGGTGATTTTTTTCTGTACATACTTCAATAACCCTGACTTTAAAAAGAAAGGAGAAGATTCAGTCCAACATAATTTCTTTTCTTTTTTTTGAGATGGAGTCTCGCTCTGTCACCTAGGCTGAAGTGCAGTGGCGGGATCTCGGCTCACTGCGGCCTCCGCCTCCCAGGTTCAAGCAATTCTCTTCCCTTGGCCTCCCGAGTAGCTGGGATTACAGGCGCCCACCAACAAGCCCGGTTAATTTTTTGTATTTTTAGCAGAGATAGGGTTTCACCATGTTGGCCAGGGTGGTCTCAAACTCCTGACCTCAGGTGACTTCACCTGCCTCGGCCTCTCAAAAGTGTTGGGATTACAGGTGTGAGCCACTGAGCCGGCCCAATCCGACATTAATTTGAATGTTTACTCTCATTTCTTTCCCTCTCTCAATTGAGACCTATAGTGGAAAAAGCTCCTGCTTCTATCTCCTCCAGCATGAGAGTGAGCAGGAAAGAATAGCCACAGATCATCAATAGTAGGAGTCACTGCAGGCCTCTGTAGGGTGTCACTGTATCTTTGGCTTATGCTGACAAATATCATATGTGGGTGCTATCTGAATACTAGCTTTTTCTTTTCTTTTTTGGACAGAGTCATGCTCTGTCACCCAGGCTGGAGTGCAGTGGCAAAATCTCAGCTCACTGCAACCTCTGCCTCCTGGGCTCAAGTGATTCTTCTGCCTCAGCCTCCCGAGTAGCTGGGACTATAGGCATGAGCCGCCAGGCCCGGTTAATTTTTGCATTTTTAGCAGAGATGGGTTTACACCATGTTGGCCAGGCTGGATGCAAACTCCTTTCAAGTGATCCGCCCACCTCGGTCTCTCAAATATTAGCTTTCTTGAGGGCTACGTGGGAGAATTTTCAGAAGCTCCCCCAGAGCCACTCCCACTACACACGTCCCTATTGTGGAAGAATTCTTTGTTTTGACCTCAAAACCCTTCCACCTGCCCTCGCCACTGCTCTACTCTTCTGCTTCTGGGGTCACCCCAACCACTAGCCTGTCCTGAGTGAATATTAGCACAATGATTCAAGCCTGGTTATCATTCAAAGCATCCACTTGAATCCTGGAAAATTAGCATTTATACAAATAGGAACGTAAGCTACTATACAACTATGCTTATTCTCCATCCTGCCATTTCTCTTCCTAATTCCTTTCTCAATCAGGCACAAAGGGCTTCCTAAGCAGATGTTCCACCTAGAAATAAGATGCCAGTCTGCTTTCCTTAGAAGCACTCTAAAAGAGCCTTTCTCTTGGTTTCTGGGCCCCTTAATAATGGAGAGGAAAGCCACTCTAGTCCTCATTAGATTAATGACTCCAATTATTTTCTTTGGTCTAGGAAGAGGGAAAATTCCCAGGTCTGCAGTCTAAGCACATCTCCAATGGGGAATGATGTGCCAGTTTACCTTCTTGCGATTAAAATGTTACATATGAGCATTAAATAACAATAAAAGTTTACATATCTACTTACCCTATTTCATAAGATGCCAGGCCCTCTTTGACTAGCTGGTCATTAATACTAGTAATTTCAGGAGGACCAGGAGACTCAAAAAGCTCAACTAAGAGCACATTATCTTCCAGAATTTCTGTAAAACCATTAAGAAAGTTTGGGGAAAGAAATATGTCATAAAACATACTAAATGAGGCAATTTTTTTTGAGACAGTCTCACTTTGTCACCCAGGCTGGAATGCAGTGGCAGGATCTTGGCTCACAGTAACTTTCACCTCTTGGGTTCAAGCGATTCTCCTGCCTCAGCCTCCCAAGTAGCTGGAACTACAGACAGGCACCACCATGCCCCGCTAATTTTTTTTGTATTTTTAGTAGAGACGGGGTTTCATCAGTTGGCCAGGGTGGTCTCCAACTCCTGACCTCAAATGATCCACCCACCTCGGCGTCCCAAACTTAAGTGCTGAGATTACAGGCGTGAGCCACCGCGGCCGGCCTAAATGAGGCAATTTAAAAATTGGAAACTTAATTTCTTTCATTTACATGCACGACATTTCTGGTAGAATAATGTCATAGTTTCTAGGAGTTAAAGTAGCACTTTGCGGATCTAAATGAATTGTTAGTGTTATCTGTAACACAAATTAGTGAACATTTAGTTTTAGGTTATGTATGCCATTATATAAAGAAATCAGTTTGACGCTTTTAGGTTCAAAAAAATATATTCATTGAAGAAGCGTTCTATTCTATTCTTACTCTATGGAACTAAATCAAGTTCCAGGAGGACCATGGTTAATGAAAGTTATGAATGAAAGTTAACTCAGGCCAGTGATCATTTGCAAACATTTACAGCTTTTACAAAAATGGCACAAAGTTTACAACAACACAAATTCAATCTAGAACCCTCAATTAACTAGAACTTTTTCCTGTCCCTGTGTTTTTCAGGACAAACCACATCTAATTCTTATTTATCAGATCTATTTCTTAAACTAGACTGGGAGTTAATGGAACGTAAGGCTCGTGTCTCATGTGTCTATTTACTTATTGATGGTATACTGCACAGGGAAATAGATCAGTATCTGAAATATGGTAGAGGAATTTCTTTAGAAAACATCTCTAAAATAATGCACTGAGATCAGTATATGCCTACACCTTTCCAGCTGGTAGCTGCTGGTCAGAATGATTCTAAAAAAAAAGATAATCATTACCAGCAGCAACATTCTATATTAACCCAGTTATAAGAGTTACATGAGTATAGATTAAAAGCTCTTTACAAATTTTTTTCCAGTAAAGTATATGGGCACAGGTGGTATTTGGTTACATGAGTAAGTTCTTTAGTGGTGATCTGTGAGATTGAGGTGCACCCCATCACTTGAGCAATATACACTGTACCATATTTGTAGTCTTTTATCCTTTGCCCCTCTCCTACTCTTCCTCCCAAGTCCCCAAAGTCCATTCCTTTGTGTCCTCATAGCTTAGCTCCCACATAGCAGTGAAAACATATTAGTTTTTCATTCCTGAGTTACTTCACTTAGAATAACAGTCTCCAGTCTCAACCACGTCACTGCAAATACTGTTCATTCCTTTTTACAGCTGTCTAGTGTTCTACTGTGTGTGTGTGTGTGTGTGTGTGTGTGTATCTCAGTTTCTTTATCCACTCATTGATAGGCATTTGGGTTGGTTCCACAATTTCGCAATTGTGAATTATGCTGCTATAAATATGTGTGCAAGTGTCTTTTTCAAACAGTGACTTCTTTTCCTCTGGGTAGATACCCAGTAGGGGAAAGGCTGGATCAAATGGTGGTTCTACTTTTAGAACTTTAAGGAATCTCCACAGTTTTCCATAGTAGCTGTACTAGTTTACAATCCTGCCAGCAGTGTAGAAGTGTTCCCTGCTCACCGCATCCATGCCAACATCTGTTTTTTGATGTTTTTTTTGGTATGGCCATTCCTGGAGGAGTGAGGTGGTATCGCATTATGGGTTTGATTTGCATTTCCCTGATCATTAGTGATGTTAAGCATTTTTTCATTTGTTTATCTTAAGAATTGTCTATTCATGTTCTTAGAACACTTTTTGACGGGATTTTTTTTTTCTTACCGATTTGAATTTGTTGTAGATTCTGGATATTAGTCCTTTGTCAAGATATATAGATTGTGTAGATTTCCTCCCACTCTGGGGCTTGTCTGTTTACTCTGCTGACTGCTCCTTTTGCTGTGCAAAAGCTCTTTAGTTCAATTAGGTCTCAGCTATTTATGTTTTTATTGCATTTGCGTTTGGGGTCTTTGGTCATTAAATCCTTGCCTAAGCCAATGTCTACAAGGGTTTTTCCAGTGGTGTCTTACAGAATTTTTATAGTTTCAGGTCTTAGATTTAAGTCTTTCATCCATCTTGAGCTGATTTTTGTATAAGGTGAGAGATGAGAATCCAGTTTCATTCTCCTACATGTGGCTTGCCAATTATCCCAGCACCATTTGTTGAAAAGGGTGTCCTTTCCCCACTTTTTGTTTGTTTTGTCAAAGATCAGCGGCTCTTAAGTATCTGGGTTTATTTCTGGGTTCTCTATTCTGTTTCATTGGTCAATATGCCTATTTTCGTATCAGTACCATGCTGTTTTAGTGACTGGCCTTACAGTATAGTTTGAAATCAAGTTTTGTGATGCCTCTGGATTTGTTCTTTTTGCCTAGTCTTGCTTTCACTATGTGGGCTTTTTGGTTCCACACGAATTTTAAAATAATTTTTTCTAATTTTGTGAAGTAGTATTTTGATGGGGACAGCGCTGAATTTGTAGATTGCTGCTGGCAGCATAGTCACTTTCACAATATTGATTCTACCTATCCATGAGTATGAGCTGTGTTTCCATTTGTTCATGTCATCTATGATTTCTTTCAGCAGTGTTTTGTAGTTTTCCTTGCAGAGGTCTTTTGATTTCTTGGTTAGGTATATTCCTAAGGGTTTGTTTTTGTTTTTGCAGCTATTGTAAAAGGGGTTGAGTCCTTCGTTTGATTCTCTGCTTGGTCACTGCTGGCGTATATAGAGGAGTTACTGATTTGTGTACACTAATCTTAGAAACTTTGCTGCATTGTTTTATTAGTTCTAAAAGCTTTCTGGAGGAGTCCTTAGGGTTTTCAAGATAAACAATCATATCAGCAAACAGTGACAGTTTAACTTCCCCTTTACTGATCTGAATGCCCTTTATTTCCTTCTCTTGCCTGATTGCTCTGGCTAGGACTTCCAGTACTATGTTGAAGAGGAGTGGTAAGAATGGGCATCCTTGTCTTGCTCCAATTCTCACAGGGAATGCTTTCAACTTTTCCCCAGTCAGTATTATGTTGGCTGTGAGTCTGACATAGATGGGCTTTTATTACATTAAGGTACGTCTCTTGTATGCTGTTTTTTCTGAGAGTTTTAATCATAAAGGGATGCTGGGTTTTGTTGAATGCTTTTTCTGCATCTACTGAGATCATGTGATTTTTGTTTTTAATTCTGTTTATGTAATGGATCACATTTATTGATTTGTGTATATTTAACCATCCCTGCATCCCTGGTATGAAATTCACTTCATCATGGATTACCTTTCTGATATGTTGTTGGATTCGGTTAGCCGGTATTTTGTTAAGGATTTTAGTATCTACATTCATGAAGGATACAGATCTATAGATTTCTTTTTTGGTTGTGTCCTTTCTGGTTTTCGGTATTAGGATGATGATGGCTTCATAGAAGGAATTAGGGAGGGTTCCTTCTTTCTCTATCTTGCGGAGTAGTGTCAAAAGTACCAGTTCTTTGATTTGTAGAATTCTGCTGTGAATCTGCTTAGTCCTAGACTTTTTTGTGTGCGCTGGTAATTTTTAAATCACCCTTTTAATCTTGCTGCTTGTTATTGGTCTCTTCAGGATATCTAATTCTTTCTGATTTAAGCCAGGAGGGTTGTATTTTAAGAAAACTTAGAATTTATCTAAGTTTTCTAGTTTATGTGCATAAAGGTGTTCATAGTAGCCTTGAATGATCTTTTATAGTTCAGTGGTGTCAGTGTAGTATCTCCTATTTTCTTAGTGTGGTTATTTGGATTATCTCTCTTCTTGGCTCATCTTGCTAATGGTCTATCAATTATATTTACCTTTTCATACAACTAGCTTTTTGTTTTGTTTATCTTTTCTATTTTTTGTTTGTTTCAATTTCATTTAGTTCTGCTCTGATCTTGGTTTCGATTATTCCCCCAAATATGTTTTCCAAGCTTTGTGCTTCTTGTATTTGGATGTCTAGGTCTCTAGCAAGGCTGGAGAAGTTTTCCTCGATTAATCCCCCAAATATATTTTCCTGAGGAAGAAGAGAATTCTATGGTTTGGTCGTTTGACAAAATCTCGGACTTCCTGGAGGCTTTGTTTATATTTCCTTATTCTCTTTTTCCTTGTTGGATTGGGTTAATTCAAATACCTTGTTTAAAGCTCTGAATTTCTTTCTTCTACTTGTTCAATTCTATTGCTGAGTTTCCAGAACATTTCACATTTCTTAAAGTGTGTCCAAAGTTTCCTGAGTTTTTTTTCTTTAAGCTACCTATTTCCTTGAATATTTCTCCCTACACTTCTTGTATTGTTTTTTAGATTTCCTTGCATTGGGCTTCATCTTTCTCTGTTCCCTCCAATTAGCTTAATAACTAACCAGAATTCTTTTTCAGGTAAATCAGAGACCTCTTCTTGGTTTGGATCCATTGACAGTGAAGTAGTGTGATTCTTGGGGGGTGTTGTAGGATCTTGTTTTGTCATATTACCAGAGTTGGTATTCTGGTATGCTTCTCATTTTGATAGGCTCTGTCAGAGGGAAGGTCTAGGGCTGAAGACTGTTGTTCAGACTTTTTTTTGTCCCACGGGGTGTTCCCTTGATGTAGTACTCTCCCCCTTTTCCTATGAATGTGGCTTCCTATGAGCTGAACTGCAGTGATTGTTGTCTCTTTCTGGCCTAGCCACCCAGAGTCTATCCGGTTCTGGACTGGTACTGGAGGTTGCCTGCACAGAGTCCTGTGACGTGAACCACCTATGGGTCTCTCAGCCATGGATACCAGTGCCTGTTCTGGTCAAGGTAGCAGTGGGCTGCAATGGGCTCCATGAGGGTTCTTAGCTTTGGTGGTTTAATGCTCTATGTTTGTG